AGCATGGTCTGCGGACCAGATGCCAGGTTTTAGGGAAACAAGTTCGGTTTGCTAATTTGTGCCTAAACATTGATTTCTCGTTACATCCACCATTTAACAAGCGAAATTTGTTTCCTAAAATGTAAAATCTGGCCCGCAGGCGCGTGCTTGAGCTCGTCAACTCACTCAACAGACCCATGAACGGGTTGATTTGACCGCGGTCAAATTTAAATCTGATAAATCATACCTACCATCGATTTACTTCGGTCTCTATGTACTAAAATGTATTAATCTACATTGCTTACTTGTAACGCCAATTGAGCACACGTCTCGCCTTTTGCCGTTTTTTTTGCTCACATCAGCCCCGAACGAAACAAAGCACACACAAGCTGCCAAGTCGTCGCGATTGATGGCTAAATTCGTTATTAAAATTAAATTTATTTATGTGTAGTAAGATATATTATGACTAGCTCGTTACATAGTTAATAATTCCTTAGATACCTGCTTGCAACGGGGTCAGTCCACTGCCATTTGGCAGCTCGAAACAGCTCCTGTCCGCGAATAGGCACAAAACACGGAGAATCTAAAACTTTTATAGATATACTTATCAAAAGTTTAAAACTACTGCCAGTTTAAATTCTTATGTAAATTTTGAGCGTTTACATCGGGATCCGGAAGTGGTTTGTGCAAAATCGTGTCCCCGGACAGGTCCATTTGGATCAACCAATCGAGTTGTGAACTGCACACGAGGATGCCGATTCTGAAACAAATTATATAACTAGATTTTTAAGCTCTTGCTATCAATCAAAAGATATTTAAATCTGGACTTAAGGCACATAATCAGGCCAGACCCAGCTAGAAGTCAGATCCAGATCTTTCAAAAGTCTCTGGCTCTCGTTAAGTAGTCTGGCTAGTTATCCAGAATGTTCTAACCGGGCCTAAGCTAATGGTGAGCGAAGCCAACTCTTCTGACATGCTTTTTGTAATCAGGAAGTGAAGGAATTGGCAAGAAAACGTAGATTTCCAAAGAGGGGATTGAACTCTCGGCCTTTTGCTTTCCGGGCAATTGCTCTAACCACTGAGCTATCCGGATACTTTAACTTCCCAAGAGAAACGAGAAAGAAGAGAGGGGAGAAGAAAAGAAAGAAAGAAGGTAAGCCAGGCAAAGTCAGAAGAGGGGGGACAGCGCAGTAGCATGACTTCTCTCTTGGCTCTGCCTTGCCTGGTCCGGAAAACTTGCATTTTGAACAGCTCACTCACTTTCTCCATTTATCGTAATCTTTAACGACGTAGTGCTGAAGACAACGAAGCACTTGCTTTTTGGCGTCACGACAAGCGATTACATCCGAGAGAATCACCTGAATATAAAGTTAAATTATAAACCACTCTTTTTGCAATACTATACGTAAAACTAAAATTTGTACCTGTAATCCTTCCAGATTCTCATTGCAGATGGCCTCTTGGAGTGGAGTGAAACCAGACATGTCCTCGGCGGTGACACAAAGTTGAATGGCTTGCGCTGTATTTGTCGACAGAAGAGCCTAGATTATCTGGATTATTATTTCTGGTAGATACTTATCGATTAAAGCTAATGCAGAATAGAAAATGGATTATGGTAGAAATATGGCAAAAATATGGCAAGATACCAATACCAAATATGGCAAGATACCAAAGCCAGAGTATGCAGCGGTTTTTTCTTGAACTTTTTGAAGCAATAGCCAGACCGAGATCAAAGCTAATTTCTACAGTTTTTTCTACAAATGTGACATTATTCAATTTTTAGATATTACTAAGTATATTTAATATAATAATCACTTATACTTGAATCCGAGTAAATCTAGGAGCCAGAAATCTGGTCAAAGCTAGGATTCAAGACCTTTCTCAGGTACCTAACACGGTACTCCTTGTACTATAGTCAAGTCTAAATATATTTTGATATCAAGATTATATCTAATTTAAATATAGATATATAAATTCTCACCTTCATTAATCTCATATCTCCACTTTTTGCCGCTAAATGGTACGCTGTTTGCCCTCGAGCGTTCATTTTTGAAGCTTGAGCGCCGGCTTTTGTGCACAACATGGCCGCTTCATACTGAAATAGATAATTGATTAAGTTTACCATTATATTAATATGCAAATTGATCCAAACTAATTTTTAACCTAATCTAGGCTCACCTGATTGTACTCGCAAGCAATGTGCAGCGGTAAAAGTCCGTCCTCGGTGGGCGTGTTCACAACCCTGAAAACGTGATTTGCACAATGATCTAGGTATCATGAATACATTCAATTATATAATTCTTGATTTAGATTTAGAAATTATACAGGGTGGCGCACAATTATCCGCACTCAGTTCAAATTCACATTTTGAACTTTGATCCCTAATCGAAATTCATTGTTTTCCAGTAAAAATGAGCTAGATTTTGAAACTAATAAGTAAAAAGAAGTAAATGAAGCTGGTTTTCTTTGATTTTGAGTCATTGAAACTAGTTACAAAAACCAAAAAATCGCTATTCCGCCGAAGGAAACGTGTGTCGCAACTTTGCAGCCTCTAGCAAAAGTTTAGAAACTTTTCTGATCAAATCCAGAAAACACATTGCAGGAGAAATATTCAATTTGATAATAAAAAAAGAATTAGGTCGATTGATTGACTCTTCGCTAAGCTGGAGAATCTGAACTGAGTGCGGGTAATTGTGCGCTACCCTATAGAATTTTAAAACATTTTGGACAAAAACTTACACAACAGCGTCTCTTTCGAAGAGAAAGCTCAGCGTTCGGGTCAGGCCCGAGCGCCGCCGCCAAATGGATCTGAATTCGATTACAATTAGCATAAAAAGACAAATTGCATATAAGGTTACTTTTTTATATTTAGGCAGATTCTAAAGTAAAACAGCTTTCCAGCACCTCAGTCCAACTCGGATTTTTGAGAGTAAATACAGCGATTCGCTCCAGCTCGTTGTCAGGCAATTGTCGGATTGGGTCTAAAATTGAATATAAAGACAGATTTGGCACTGTTTTGAAGTTCTGCAAAAACAATCATTGAGATCGCTTAAGAATATTAAGTTTAAAGTCAAGGCAATGAAAAGTAGGATTTCGAATATACAGGGTGATTCAAAAGTTCTGAATGTAAAGTATCTGCAAATCTAGATTTTAATTAAATTTAAAATAAATTTATTTTTAAAATTTTTTAGATCTAGATTAGATTAGTTAAAGTCAAAAAGTGACTGGAAAATATGAAACGGTTCGCTGTTCGCGGGTTGATTTGATAAGTTGAGTTATTTGAAAGTTTTGCTATTAAAAGTTTTAAGGTTCTAAAGATTCTAAAATATTCACTAGATGTAAATTTATTATGCTTTATGATTACCATCGTACAGTCCAGCAAAGAGAAGATTTAGTCGATTGGCGATGATTTTCCCCTCAGCCTCCGGCATACTTTTGATGATCACTTTTTTCGTCGGGCGATAAATCACGTAGAAGACGTTTGATTTGTCCTGAAATCAGTTTTGAATGGAATTTTCTGAACATATAAGATATCCGAATCTTACCTTATACAGCGAAGTGGTCCCATTGTTGTCCTTCAACTCCAATTGTTTCAGTGCAGAGTCGCTGATTGCGGTGATCTAAAAAAGGTCTAATTGTGGCTTCAAGATTTATTGATTAATGGTAATGATTTATCTAATTATCAAAGTCTTTCATACCATTTTGTATCTGATTCACTGTGCACTTTTGCTATTTGTAATAATACCGACAAAACCAACAAAGTCGCGTCAAAGATCTTGCCAGCAAGCCTGATTTATGATTGGCATTGTTATACAAGATCGTTGATGGAATTGAGCTTTTTTTATTATTTTATACCTGTAAATCTCTTGATTCCCTTCTCGTCAGCGTCGACGCGACTCTCCCAACCGCATTTTGAAAGATTTGCTGCACTTCGGGGCTACTTGATGCCAATTGGGAAACGGTTTTGAGAAAATTCATTCTGAAGAACGTTTTAATAAATAGAAATTTAGTTTTAAAGGTAAATGTTTAAGACAGTCGATCATTTTTCTTGAAAACGGCAAAGTTTTATTTCGAAAGAGAATTTTATCACAGCTTTGCAAGGGAGAGAAATCTATTGGTAAAAAAACGAAAAAAATGGGAAGGCAATAGAAAAATCACATTTTTCGATGGACATGTGAAATTTGTATTATTGGATAACACCGGTAATTTCTACAATTTTTGAGTTTTAATACTGTCATAGTTAGAAAAAAAAATAGATAGAAGTTTCTCAGACTAGTCCATAAAAGTAATTACAAAGCACATTTTTACCATTTTTGTCAAATATCAAATATCTACCATGCATTTGTTTTAATAGAATTGTGCTTTAATACCAAAAATCATTAAAAATCAAGACTCTTACGCAAATTACCACGAAAACCCCAATGATCTCAATATTGTTAAACTAAACATAAAGATTTCAAAAGTTTTAGAGGTTTTGGCAAGTTGGCTTCAATGAATTTTAAATAAGTTAAGGCTGAAAATATAATGAGAGGTGTGCTTTGGGCTAACAATGGAAACACTTCATTTTTGGGGTGCATTTTTTTTTTTTTTTTAAAGAAAAAACCAAAAAAACCAACCCCCGAAGGATCTAAAATTAAAAAACCCCCAAAATTTTTTTTTTCCTTTTTTCTTCTTTTTTTTTTTTTTTTATTTTTTTTCGGGAGAAAGGGGGGGGGGGGAGAGGTGATAAAGAGGATGTTCCCGACACCGGGAAGGGTTCAATTCTTTTTTTTAAAAAAAAAAAAAAAAAAAAAAAGAATTTTTAAAAAAACCAAGAGGGGTTTTCTCTTCCCTTCCTTTCCTTTTTCTTTTTTTTTTTGGGGGAGGAAGAGGGGGGGGGGAAGAAAAAGCGTCGCTGAGGAGGAGGGCCTCCTCAGCTCCAAATTCTTTGCCAGTCGCTTCTTTATTTTACTAGAGAACTTGTTTACCAGATATCTTGCGTTGAAGCTGATATCTGATAGGTTATGGCTTGTTCCAAAACTTCAAATTAGCCTTTTTATACGATTGCAAGATCTGGATTTGGCCTCGATAGTCAATCAAAGCTATGAATTAGCAAAGCTCAATGAAGCTTTGATAGGTTAAGTTTATTCTTCTAGCGCAAAAAAGCAACTAATGCACCCTAATCATCATTGGAATATTTCGGTAGATAAGTATTTACCATAAGAGTCACAGTGAATCAAAAAAAGTGATTTGAATGTCTTACAATTAGACTCAAACCAAAAGAACGGTGATCGAAAGCCTGAGGATTCTCTCGAGTAATTCTTGCGCTGATTGGCAATCGACGAAGAAACGAGTTGCCACATCATCACCCTAAAAAATTGAAGTAATAGAATTTTTCGAAATTTTCTTGTGCCACAAATTTCACAAGGGTTTTCTGATAAGGACATTCGTCTTTGAAGCAAAAAACCGATTGCCTTATCAGATTTGCTTTTTTTCAATGAACGAAAAAATTAAATACAACTTCTAATTGTTTAGATTTCAAATTCTTAACTGAATATTTTTACCAGTAACAAGTTGGCACGATTTCAATGAATTTTAAATGAGTCGAGGCTAAAAATATAATTAGAGGTGGACTTTGGACTAAAAATGGAAACATTCAATTCCCTCCTCAGTTACAAATTCTTTGCCATTCATTTCTTTACTTTGCTAGAGAACTTGTTTACCAGATATCTTGCGTTGAAGCTGATATCTGATAGGCTATGGCTTGTTCCAAAACTTCAAATTAGCCTTTTTATACGATTGCAAGATCTGGATTTGGCCTCGATAGTCGATCAAAGTTCGATGAAGATTTGATAGGTTAAGTCTAGTTCTTCTAGCACAACAGAGGAACCAATGCACTCTAATCATCATTAGGATATTTCGGTAGATAAGTATTTGCCATAAGAATCACAGAAAGTGGTTTGAATGTCTTACAATTAGCCTCAAACCAAAAGAACGGTGATCGAAAGCCTGAAGATTCTTTCGAGTAATTCTTGTGCTGATTGGCAATCGACGAGGAAACGAGTCGCGACATCATCACCCTAAAAAATTGAGGTTGTAATAGAATTTTTCGAAATTTTCTTATACCACAAATTTCACAAGGGTTTTCTGATAAGGACATTTGTCTGAAGCAAAAAAACCGACTGCCTTATCAGATTTGCTTTTTTTCTCAAGGAACGAAAAAAGTTAAATACAACTTCTAGTTGTTTAGATCATAAATTCTTAACTGAATATTTTTACCTGGTATGTGCCAGATGGGAGATTTGTAGCAACAGTTTCCAATTGAACGAGAGCTCCCGTCAACAGGCCACAAAACTCGAGAAAATTGGTCTTGTTCGCTTTTCCCGATGTGGCGAAGATCATTTGGGTGACTTTGGAAAGGATCTGGAATTTGTAAGAGTTAGATTTTAGCTGAAAAAAATTTAGCTAATCAAAGTCGAGCCGAACGATTGATTGGTCAGGTCAAGAACAAGAATTAGATCAAAAATAGTTGGAACTGGAATTCTTAAGGTTTAGATTTTAGTCTTTAGGTTTATTTGAACAAACTCAAACAATCGATTGACTGATCAGCTCAATAAAAAGAACAAGAATCAGACGAACTTTCTAAAAAGTTACAAGGCGTAAAAAACTGTGACGCTAAAAAGTAACAATTTAGCTTTTGGTTTCAAAATTTTAGCCTCTATCGGCCATTAACTATACCTAAATTCATGTTTGCCAAGCAAAGCATTAAGAAAACAAACAAAGGGTTAAAAAATGATTAACAATTATTCACTAGCTATTAAAAATAAAACCATATTAGAATTTTTAAGCAACAAACTATGGGCAAACCATATAACAAGGAGGAAACGAACGAGGGGAGAGAGTACTTTAAAAACGCGCTACAAAAACATAATAGATTTTACGAATGGGGAAAAACTTAGCGAGACTCGGCATAAAGGCCGGACAAAGTTTACGATTTTATCATGGAATGAAAAAAATTGAAAAGAATGGCAAAAGGGGTATTTTGCGTGGGGTACGGTAGCGCATCCCCGTTTTAGAAAGCGCCGCTCCGCTTTCGCGCCAGTCCCTTAAAACCGTGCGTGAATAAGAACCTAACTTAAGAATGACTTTGGTAGCAGTTAACAAAATGTACCGTACTTTCAAAAAATACGAGCACATAAAGTTAGGCACTCTTTACAATCATATAACTAATTTTTCCTTGTCTAACCTGAACAAACGCCTCAACCACCGAAACGAGTCCATTCACCGAAGTCTTGTACGCTTCTTCAGCTTCGAGAATCATTGCCTCCAAACTTTTGTTGCAAGCCTAAATCAGTGCTTGATTTGTTTAATAAAAAGTATAGAATTTTTAATCGCACCTCTTCATAAACGTTTATCGTAGCACTTGGATCAATTGTAGAGCATAAAGACTTCACAACACGTCGAAGATTTGCCTCAAACATCGATGAATCGGGCACATCTTTGTGAGCAATGGACGTTAAAAGCTCGTTAACTGTTCTAAAATTTGGCTCATGAATCTGATGAAATTAGTCGACTTTTAAATTAAATTTGCGATTAGCTAATAAACTCTTTAAAAGCAAACCTGGAATTAGTCGGGATTCCTTTTGAAGAAGTCAACAGCTCTAAAGCCTCAACATTTTGCATTGTCGTCGTGGCGCCGATGAGCGACAAAAAGTCGACAACCGGCACGATGTTTGATCTAAAAGTTTTATCCTTAAAAGTTGTTTTGGTTCTTCAAATCAAGGTTGTGTTTTAAAATCAGAATAATCTATCATTTCCGGTCGGCTATTGATGTTAAAGGTGAAAAAAGACGATGTAAACGAGGCACTACTGTTTTACACAACGTACGTACATTTATCAACCGTACTTGAATATACTTTCTTAGACTGTCCGGTGTAATCACTTACCGTATCTCTTGCGAAGACTGTTCGTCTTTGATTCTTTTGAGAAGATCTGACAATGGTTCATCGCTTGATTGATCAAAGAAGAGACGACTTCGGCCTTTCTGAAATGGGAAACATACCTTAGAAATGCAAAATTTTGTCCAAGTTATTATCAAAACCAGCCTGGGTTTGACTCCCGGCTGTGTCGTGACTTTTGGTTTTTAAAAAACGAAATATGAGATGCACAACCACATAGAATTCTAAGCCTAGCAAAGAAAAAATCCTGAAAATCGGCCCACGGGAGCCGAGAGCTCGTTCAATTTTTGTTCAATTATTTAATGATCAAGCCCCACTTTGTCTTTAACCGTTAACGTCTCAAAAGTCTTCTTTCCGATTGCTTCAAGTGCATCGAGTCCACCTGTGACAAGGCCGGAGAAGAGGCCAAATGAGGGAACGGTTGAAGGAGAAGCTGATGAAGTGGAGCCTTCTGAAAATTAAATGCAAATTTCCACTTTACATTTAAGATTAGGATAGGTTCAATATTGATATCAAATGTTTTGAACAAACAGTAACTTATAAAAAAGGGCTGTGGGTAGGCTTGGGTTTTGCATACTTTGTGCTTTGCAAGCACTCCCCATTTGGCGCACTTAGGTCATCATTTTTCCCTTGCTTACGCGAGAAAAATGAAGAAGTGAGTGCGCCAGAAAAGAGTGTGTTTCCATTTTTGAGCATAAAATACTGGGAAATACCTGAGCACTTCTTTCTCCAGATGCTTTGCCTTATCCCTATATAAATGAATCCATATTTTAAGCTGTTGGTCAAGAAAAACTAACCAGCCAATGCCTCAAAAGCGCTTCTTTTCGGCGTTTCTTTTGTCCCTTCCTCGATCGTCTCATTTTCTTCAACTTCTCTCTCTTTTTGAGCAAACTCTTCCGCGCTCGGCAGGCCGAAAGTGTTTTCCACGGCTGAGGAAAATGTTTTACCTAAAATTTGAATATCTTGTTATAGTTTTAGCTAATTGCAAGCAATTCTTAAGCCCAACAGGACTATATCTAACTTACTAAATAAAATTTGCTGTTTTTGACCGATTAATAATTTTTCCTAGTGCCGATAAGCATTGTAATTGCCTTAAAAATGGTATTTGTCTGTTTTTCAAAAAAACCCAAGAAGTTTGTCGTTGGAGGGACTCGAACCCATCGCAAAAGGGGGCATGGGTTCTGTGGTTCGGGACACTAGCCTCTAAGCCTCCGCTGATCTTTTTTCACCCGCGTGTGGCGCGTTCTTATTGGTCAGGGGGATTTTTCGAAAATGGCTAAACCTTTAAATACCTTTTTCTCGCCAGGATTTTAATTTGGGCAAAAATTGAACAGATATTTGAAATGCCCATATCCGACTGGTGTTTGCACTCGGAACTTATCCTGAATCCTCAGCACCAGTTTGGATCATTCCCTTGTAAGATCAAAAGATCGCAGCTTTACATTGCCCAGCGCATACTTCTCCGATTACTTTATTAAACTCTTGTATTTGTATGGTTTCTAATTTTAAGGTAAATTCATCGTTTACTAAATGTAAATTTAGTTACCCAATGCGCTGGCGAATCCACCCCATCCTGCTGGCTCGTTCGTCTTCGCTTTGCCCAATTTCATCGAACCTGCTGGCGTTGAACCTGCCGGCTTCCTGAAAATTCTAATCTTAATCCAAATCTTTTTATTACCATTTTTAACTAACAATTGTATCATCCAACTCACTTCTGCGTCGATTCTTTCTTCGTTTCAGTCTCCCATCCATCATTTCCCCAATCCCAATTCTCTTCTCCTTCCTCCACTTCTTCTGTCGGATCTTTCTTCTCATCGATCTTGTTCTCGGAAATTTGCACCGAAGAAATCGATTCTTCGACTGTTTTCGTGTCTTCATCTAAAGCTTTTATGGGATTATCCGGTAGAGAACAGGGCTGAACTGAAAAAACAAAAGCCAAGGCTAAAAATAAGGCCAGATTTTTTGACAAACGAATACAAAGCCAACCAAGCCAAATCAAAAGTGTCTTCGGAGAGCTACGACTCCGACTTTGAATCAGATTCTACAGCTGAATCAATGAATCAACTTTACCTCCCCAAGCATCCCATCCCGATGATTCGTTCTCCTTTTCTTCTTCAGGTTCCTCAGCAGGCTTTGTTTCCTCATTCCTTAGCTCAACCTCCACAGATTTCTCTTCACTTGATTTGCTATCACTTGTATCATCTAAATTTTTCGGTGTACCCGGTTTTTCTACAAGTAGATTGCCTTGACTCTGACTAGGGAAGAGTACTAGTTCACCATGAGATTTCGAAACGAGACCTAGCTCAGGATGTTAAATTGCTCTGATCAAAATTAGATAAGAAAATAAAGCAAAATAGTATAAGAAAATCAAAAATATCATTATGAAAAATAAAAAGCAAAAAGTTTGTCCAGCGGGGGATTCGAACTCACTACAAAGTATCGATCCGTTCCGTAGATAAGCACACTACCCACTAATGCCATGAGCGCCGTTGAAAGAGAAGCGTAAACTCAGCTCAAGAGTGTATAGCAAAAACTTTGATGCCAGAAATTTGGAAACCAGAAATAAGAAGCCAGAAATTTGGAAACCAGAAATAAGAAGCCAGAAATTTGCGAGCTATTCAGCAGATTTTGATTACAGATTCGGATTCCCCTCTTTTTGTTGGATGTTGGATCTGTTGGATGGGCTAGGTCTCGTTTCGAAATCCCATTGTGACCTAGTACTATTCCCTACTGAGGTACTAAAGTTTTCAAAATGAATTTACTCACCCGACAATGTGATCGGTGTCGGGAGATCAGTAACGACGAATTCCTCGCTACTGCTGCTCTCTTTTTCCACCTCGTTCAATGTAACTGATGCTTCTTCTGAAAAGATACCTAATCAATATCGTTTTTGATTTTTGCTGACAAGGGAAAGGCAACAGTAGGATGTGAGATAAGCCATAGACCAGTATAAACATTTCAAATAGTTTTAAGGCCAGATAAAATTCAGGTGTTAAAGCATCAAAAGTTTTGCCAAAAAGGAATCGAACTCGAACAAAAAGGCAATACTCGAGCGCTCGTTTTGTATGCAAGCGTCCACTACAACACTATAACAACCAGTCACGTTTGACGCCCGTGAGGAAATCCTTATAAAGGCCTCCCGGTACTAGGGCTCGGTTATAACCCCCATGCATCAAGTGCGGTTATAGCCCCCCGTTAACATATAAGCCAAATTAGCATATAAACCAAAACAAAGGATCAAAAACGACAGTTCATTTTTATTTTTTGAGTCATCGAGTTTTTTCAAGCGAAGGAATTCTTCCAAAATAACGCGACTGCCCCAACCACCACTCAATGTCGTTCTCTCTCAATCGCAAAGCCCCGACTTGGAGACGCAGAAAAACAGAATGTCGAATGGAGACGGAGCTCTGCAAATGAACAGGGTTCGAGGGCAACCGGCTCGAATATCTCGCAATGTTGCGTTTCATCTAGAGCCAGGAACTGACGTCGGAAGGTTTCTGTGATCGCGAGCTTGGTATGCGCAAGACTACAACCATCGATTTCAACAACTACATTTTTGAAAAATACCTGACATTTTTAAAATTCAAATTTTGGGGGGAGGGAGTTATAACCATACTGATGCACAGATGGATTTGGGGGATTATAACCGCACTTGATGCATGGGGGTTATAACCGTCTTAGTACCGGCCTCTTATTCGGCTCCAAATTTCACCATTTTCACGCTAAAACTTAAATACACGTATAACTTTTTATAGAAAGCCATTTTGCAAACATGGAAAGCAGCTTCAGAATCAGCGTGAAATTCTGCGCCGAATGGTCTATGGCTTATCTCATTTGACCACACCCTAATGTTGCCTTTCCCTTGTGAGTTTGCAGCTTGTTCTACTAGGTGTGCTTACAAATTGCAGCTATTAGATAGCTGATACTTATTTATCTTGTCCCAAGTCGAATAAAACGCAAATTTCAATATCACGTTGGTACTTTATATTTATAAAAGTTGTTATCTTGTTGCAGGTTTACCTGACGACTCATCTGTGGATGGTTTTCGTAGCTCAACAAAGACATTCTCTTCCTTTTGCTTGGGTGCCTCGAGTAGCTCTGGTTCTGAGGGGATCGATTTGATCGTGTGCTTTTCCCCTTGGACTTGTTCTGCTTTTGGAGTATCTAAACCTTTGATAGACATTCCCTTTGTAATACATTTTCCATAGTACCAATCTATTGATCTATTTTTAGGTGCAATTAATACCTGTTTTCTTTGATGCTTTTGTTTTAGCTGGTGCCTCTTCGTCTCCAGAGGAGGCCGAGAAAAATTCATCTTCGGAATCCATCTGAAATTTTTAGATATTGTAAAATGCTTAATAAATCCATGGAAAACAGTGTTAATAGAAAATTGTCAAGAAGAAGTAGAGAATCCAGAAAGTCATTAGCGTTTTGCTTTTCCATCGATTGAGTAAATGATGTTTGGCTTCAAGTTTCTGATGAAACAAAGAAAAACTCTTTATTTTTAGACTTACTTTTTGCCCAATTTTGTGCTTGTTTAGAGTTTGCAAAAGTAGAAACGAATTTTGGGCCCAGAATTTGCCGCGAAGAAGAAAAGGGCGAAATTGGCTCAGTCACTGGCCGCTCTTTATTCCGGATTCCGAAAGGAAAGCCTCTTATACCGGAGCGGTTTGCCAGATGGAGAGCGATTATGTGGCCGCACAAAGAACACCTCGCCAGTCATTTATTTACGGATTTTTCTTTTGCTTTGTAGATGGGATAAAAAGATATTCAGCTGTAAATTTGTATCTGTGGGTTTTCGGGGTCGGGGAATCGATTGGAGCTATTTATTTTCTTGAGTCTACTAACTAGAATCCGGGTTTTACAGCAACGAATTGGAAAGCGCCACAAAGAACACCTCGTCACTGCAAATTTGACCGAAATGGACTACGAATGATGTAAAACGATTCTGTTGATGAAAATTGAAATAGTTAAGCTAAAGATAAATGTAAACTAAAGTAGTATTCAATAAAAAATCCCCTTTCAACCAATTACACAGGAAATGTGGCACTTTTGCGTGTTTTCTCTCTCTTTGTCTGTGCTCTGACGAGGGGCACGATTTAGCAAAGAGGGAAAGTGTTTAAACAGTCAAAAAGAAAGGTCTTTACAAAAGGGGAAAGATATTCAGTAAAATGGAGAGAAAAGAAAGATATTCAATGAGAAGACTGAATGATTGGAGAAGGATGAGACTGCCTTGTCGTTTCTCCTTTCTCTTTGATCCATTCTCCCTAAACTATCCCATCCACACAAAGCCTTTTCTTTTTTGCACACCATCAATAAATGTTCAACCTTGGGGGTTGAATTTGAAAAAAATCAATTTCCATTTGAATCCAATTTCAATTTGCATATTTTTATTAACAAATTTATTTCATTTTGTTTTAAATGATGATTAAATGATGCAAAAAAAATTGCAAAGACCTTTTTTTTTGACAAAATTTCTCCCCAAAGAATTGTTTGCTTTTCTTTATGGCTTAGGGCTTAGGCTTAGGCTTAGGCTTAGGCTTAGGCTTAGGCTTAGGCTCAGGCTTAGGCTCAGGCTCAGGCTTTATTTTTAAATGTAAAATTTTCGATCCAAATTATAAATAATTTAAATCGAAATTTAGCTTTTAAATGGAATCAGAGATCAGAGCTCTTAAACTTACAACCTATTTGGGTATAGAAAAATTGCCTTTACATGCTAATCTTCTATCGAAATTTGGAAAAGCTATTAAAACTTTTCATAGTAATCATTTTGGGTATAAATTTGCTAGGATTCAGTTTAAAAATGAAAAAAAATGAAAGATAAAATTTCTCTGACTGTGTTACATCTATTTTCCAGGAAACGACTCATGTTTATGCTAAAATCGATGATGCAAAACTCTCTTTCCCCCCAAATTTCCATCATAAGCAAAACAAATGTGTCAACTAAAATGAAATGACGAAAAAGTTTTTGTTTTTCTTTTACATTTATTTAATTTTTAAATCGTTGTCAAAAAATGGATTGAACAAGATGGTAGTAAATGAATTTGCATAAACCTTATCATTCCTTTTTATATTTTCGCTGAAAAATAACAAATCCATCAATTAACCGATGGTTTGCTTTAAATAAAAAATGTTCATTGTTTAATTTCCCATCTTTTTCAGTCAATTTGGGTTGACTTTCAAGCAAAAACGACAGTGAAAAGGTGTTTTTTAGTAAAAGTCTTTAAAAGCCTTTACGAAGAAATTGGCTGAATGGATTTCTCTGAAAATTTCCCTGAATTTAGCTATATACCAAACTTTTTGTGCTCTATTTTTTATCTATTGACATCAAGATCGGTTTCTTTAGCTAAAGTGTTTAAACGGCATTATCGAGCCGCATTTTTGACTGCCCCGACTTCATGATCACAAAAAATTCAAGCAAAAGACACTTTAAACCCGTTTGAATGTTATTTTGGCAGAAAAATAATTGGTCTTTCTAATGAAATAAACCGTTTTTCCATCGGTGCATTTGTTGATTTTAAACGGAAGTACGAAAAGAAATGAAAAGACTTTCTGGACAGCCTAATAATTTCTAATTTCTAATTGATATTGCAATTTTTACATTTTAGCTCATTATGTCACACTTTCTTCCTTTCAATTTTGAATTGTAAAACGAGAACTTGAAATTGTTCAAAATGAGATAGGAAAGAGGGAATTTCAAATTGCGCAAGTGACAAGTGACATTACACAGAAAGTGCGCGGTCAAGGGAAAAGAATGATCGGAAAGAATGGCCTCAAATTTTACCCCTTTCCTCTTCGAATCTTGACTTCCATTCAACTTCTAATCACAGAACCAGTTCGCATTTCTTCAAAATCTCTGACAATATGCAATTCTAAATCTTAAACTGATTAGAAAGTTTAAAAAAGAAATTCAAAATCTTTTTTTTTGTTTTTTGAAATCCCTTGTGTACTTTGTGCTTAAAAAAACCAAATCACACCCTTTCTTGTGCACTGATTTCTTTCATTTTTCTCGTTTCAACAATATCGAATTAACAGAAAAGCCCCAGAAAAGGTGTGTTTTTGAGAAAAACACATTTTAACAAACATTGAAACCCATGCTTTTAAAAACAAATAGATTTTTCAAGAATAATTCATTCGCTTTCATTTAGCATTCACAGCTTTCACCTAAAACTCTGTTCCATTTCATTCATGAATCGTTTACTCATTGTCATTTCAATTGTTTTTCTATTCCATCTCAATCGTTTATTCATTGTCAGTCATTACTTTTACATTTCCAATTTCATAACCAGCGCTCAGTAAACAAATATTGTGTAAAACATAAATCTGCTTGCATTCTTCACTTTCTTTTACTTAATAATCACAAAGTTTAAGATTTATTTTATATTAAAATCATCTGGGAATCCATTTCAAAATCGAATTTCCTATTTTTGTTCTTTGTGTGTTCTTTGTGCGCGCACACAATCGCCCTCCATGTGGCATCCCTTCTCAATAGATACCGCTCCCTTTCTCTCGTTCCCTATCGCTTCTGGCCTCTGGCTAAGATCAATGTGTAGTAACTGTTCTTATCGGCTTAGTCTCCGGTACGAGTTCTATTGAACTCATCGAGATTAACCAATTTTTGGTCCTCGTACGGTTTGTAGTAAGCTTGCTTCTCGCCGTTCAGTGTCGGCCCGCTATTGCACTTAAGGCGGGATCGGCGCACACCCCCAGTGATGGGGGAACAAAAAAGGCACGAAAAAGAAACCCAAAATGGAAAGTTTTATCAAAAATTTGAAGAAAACCATTCTTGAAACTTTCTACTAAGTATTTTGTACTCAAAAACGTCAAATTATCCAAGAGTTGCAAAAACGGAAAAAATGAAGAACAAACCTGGCGAATTATTCAAAAATTATCCCAGAGCTTTAGCAACAAATCTTCCGGATCCACGTTTTTCGGTGTGTATTTCTCGAAAATCGCCGCCATTTCCCCGATCAATCAAAAGTGATCCATTCTCTCATTTTTCTTCCCTTTACGAGATTCGTCTTTGATTTTTGTTGGGTCGTTTTTAGCAAACTATTGGGAAACTTTGTACGGCTATTGGCTAAATTTAGGCCTTTTTTTGGGGGAAATCATTTGACTTTTAGGATAAATTTCAGACATTTTTGGTTCTTATTCTTGGTTCAAACATTCAGAAATTCTTGATAAAAACAGAAGCTTCTGGCAGGAAGGGGAAAAAAGCCAAAAAGTCTTTGATTCCTTATCAATCTTTCAGTTTGGCTGTATACTTCATTTTTTGGCTTCTTGCTGTATTCGTTTTAACCTTGGTTTGGCAAATCAATTGCTTGATGTACTTTTTGCTCAAGTATTTTATGTAAACGCATCCCTTCTGGCACACTCTTAACATTATTTGGAACTTTTTTTGAAATTTTGAACTTTAAACTTTTTGACAAACTTTTCTATCAAAATTTCATCCTTGACTTGCTCTTTGAAATGTATTTTGTGTTTGAAAATGGAAACACACCCTTTCTAGTGCACTAGATTCCTAATTTTATTGAGATGCAAAGTAGTTGCTTTGAGAAAAATAAAGAATTAAGTGCGCCAGAAGGGGTGTGTTTAGCCAGTGTTGAGCACAAAGTACATTGAGCTGAAAACTTTTGAAATTCTCCAAAATGTCAATCGTGACGCAAAATTCAATGAAATATGTTCGTGAATCAGAAAAACTGCTAAACTTTTGTGTTGAAAGTCTAGAATCTTTTGCAATGATGTAAAGTAAGATAAGGAAAAGCTTTAATGATTGAAAATTATTCATTTTTGCGAATGATTTGAAAATGATTCATTCAGCAATGAAACTTTTAATCAATTCACAAATCTCTGATTAATTTTAAGTGTACTTTGTGTAAAACTAATTAAACACACTTTTTCTATTGCACTAAACTCTTCGTTTTCTCACGGAAAGAGTTTAGTTTAACAAGAGAAAATGAAGAATTCAGTGCACTATAAAGGTGTATTTCTATTTCACATTAGATCTCTAAATAAGCTCAGCACTCTTTTCTTTCCTTTTTCAGAGCTGAACCATTTGTTACTTGTTTGTAAATTTTCTGTTGCTGATACAATTTTTTTAGCTCATAACAATCCACCAATTTACTTCAAAATCTCTGTATTCTAAATCTCCAAATGTCTGATCATTCATCAGAAGATGGGGGTTCGATTGACGGAGATCTTCCACCAGCACCAATACGAGGTTTTCGACGGACCGAAGGTTTTTTAAATAGATTTATTCACACAAATAATGCGGTACAAACAATACATAAGCACAACGCCTAGCGCTCAACCCCTAACCCCTAAATGTAGAGAAGAAGAAAAATACGGGATGCGGTTCTCTACTTTTTAGAATTCTCTCTAAAAGCTTCCTGGTTGATTTTCTTTCATAAGATAATACCTCTAATAGTAGCGCCGGCGTTACTATTATCGCTCATCGAGCCCTAAAAAATAAAATTATCAACGAAAACGAATAAGAAATGCTAAAACAGCAGTAAAAACGAGGAGAATTGAATAAAAATGTTGTAGTTGCAAGCTAAAAAGCAAAAAGCTAAATATCTTGAGATTTTTCATAGGCATTAGGATATTTAATTAAGGGGCGCTACTAAGGTGCGTTACAAAATGATAGGATCACCCCTAAATTTTACATTTTTTGGCTATGAAATTTAATAACGCGAAATAGCTTTTAAATCCTAGAAATATATACAAAAATAGGCATCTATCCCATTTTTAACATTATCTGAACAAATTGCAACAAAATTATAACACTTTCTTTGTTTAACACCTGTTGCGAAATGATAGGACCACATAAGAAATAACAATAAATTTGAGAATAAACAAAAGAAAAACAAATGAAAAGTTCATTAATAATCAATAGATGCTCCCTTTTTCTCGATGACGTCGAGTAATCGCCTTTTCATTGAGTTCACTAAGTTTTGAAGCGTTTGTGGTGGAATTGACGCCCAAGCTTGCAAAATTGCTTTTTTGGTTGCGAAATCGTGTCGTAAGTCTTTCCATTAGCATAAATATTCCTCACGAGGATGCCCCATAAGTTTTCCATTGGGTTTAAGTCCGGTGAGCACGCAGGCCATTCGAGAAAATCGATGTTGTGACGTTCCAGAAAAGCTTGATTGGCTGACATGAATTGAAGCATTATCCTGTTGAAAAATATAGTGTTTCCCTCGATTTTGTGCTAGGAAAGGAAGTAGTTGATCCGTAAGGACATCCTGGTAATTGTTCAAGTGCATGCGACAAGTCACAAATTCTAAATCAAGAACGTCATCCACACTGAAAGCGCCCCATATCATCAGCGATCCTCCTCCGAAGTTTCGACGCCCACAAAGCATTGGATCTTTTCTCAAATCGTGCCAATAGTACTTGTTGCCGTCGGGACCATCCAAATTAAATTTTTTCTCGTCGCTGAAGATGACCTACAAAGAAAAAAATAGTTAACAACTCAAGGTAAAAAGTTTACTTTTTTTCAATCGATGGTGATGTGATCCCGAGCCCAAGACATTCTTTTTTTCTTTGTGTAACGGCTTCAGTTTGGTGCTTTCTTCATGACTGCTCTTTTGACGTAACGGATGTAACACTTGATGGCTCGAGAAAGAATGCTTTTGTGGACGGGAGCTCCAACTTGTGCCTTGAAGTCCTGTAGCGACACGACCGAATTCGACAACAGACGTCCCATATGCCGTTCAGCGCGGACCGTGAGCTTTCGATGACATCCCGGAGACTTTTTCTTGCCATAATTGAAAGGATCCTTCAAGAAATTTGAGACAACTTGCTGCGAGCTCTCCTTCCGATTCGACAACTTTCTTCCTTTCAAAATCAAAATTTTCATCTGTTCGATCCGCGAAAACGATTTTCCACGCCCCATCTTCCTAAAAAATAAAACTTATCAAAAAGTAAGCAAAAAACATGGTTATTACAGGTAGAAAAACAAAAAGAAACGTAGTGGTCCTATCATTTTCCAACAGGTCTACACTCTAGAATAAAGAAATGCTTAAAAAATTTTGCCTTTTAAAGTAAATTATTTGGCAAACGGTATTTGGGCGTACTTTTGTATATAAAATTCGAATTTAAGCATCATTTTGCATTTTTAGTCATTTAAAATCAAAAGCGCAAAAATCGAGGGTGGTCCTATCATTTTACAACGCACTGTATTCCTCCCCCCCCTGGGGCGCGCTACTATCACAGGTATTACGGCAAGTGTTTATAGCCAAAAGATAGCCAATCCTTTACAGAATTCAAATCTTATTACAGTTTTTAAATAGCTTACTTACATTTTGAGTTATCGCTATTCTATGCTCTTCGAAAAAAGTATCTGTGGTCGCACATATTATTGCGCTTTTTCATTGCAAAAATTTCTATAATTGAAACTTATTGCAAACTGTTGTTGTATTTCCAGTTTGAAACTGAGATAATTTTTTTTTGGTGGTCCTCACCGTCTGAGTTCTAAGTTTTACTGATTTTCTTATACTGGTAGCTGGTGCGACCACAGAGCACGCAAATTGTGATAACTCAAAATTTAAAGGAGCTATTTCAAAAAGGTAATAAGATTTCAATTCTGTGGAAAATTGGCTATCTTTGGGCTATAAACACTATCATGACAATCAGAAAGAATTCAATTAAAGATAATTTAAAAGAAAAGAACTTTCGCCGCACGCTGTATGGGAGAAAGAACCAATAATCTAGTCGGCGGGATTGAACCCTTGAACTCTCGACTAAGATACAAAGTTCTTGGCCGGTTGGCCATGGGTTTGTTTGAAAAACGATTATCGTACTTGCGATAGAGGGAACCTTTAGGTTTTTCTAAATAGTCGAAATCCTAAGAATCTAAACTAATCTTAAGAATCTTAGAAGCAGATTAGAATCTATCAGAAATTATAGCTAACAATGAGATTCAAATCTTGTCTTGTGGGGAATTAAAGAGCCAGAGTTCTGAGGACCCTTATTGGTTCGTAGAGCAACAAAAAGTGCAAAACAAGAAAGTAGAACTCTTTTTTTGATGTGTTTTGACCAATTTTCTAAATATTTCTAGATCTACGCTATTCTAACCTAAACAGAATTTCATCTAAAGATCAAATTTCACTTGAGCTTTTGAAAAATATTGAATTCATAACTCTAAAATTTCTCAAAATCACTCAAAATAAATTGCACACTAAAAATTACTCGTAACTCAAGAAAAATTTCAAAAGTTTTCCATTTTTTGGCGGTAAGTCTTTGAAGTTTCGAACTGTAAAAGTTTTTGCAAAAAGGAAACCAATATTTTATAGTGATTCACGAGGGGAGGAGAGGGTAAAGATTAGAAGAATTAGCTTATCAATCGAAACAAAACTTAAGCTTTTGGAAACCTACACAACTTTCCAGATCATTGAACAACTTTATTTTTGATGTTCATTTAACATTTCAGGTTCATTCGCTCGTTTATCGACGGCGATTCGGCGGAGTTTAAGGCTACCGCCAAGACGAATCACGAAACAGCCGGAAGAAGAGTATCGATTGCATAAGGTGAGTCCAATATAAAGCATTTACGAGATTGAAATTTTCTAAAGATTCCCAAAAACCTATTCATTAATCAAAGCTTAGTTTTTGTCCGGGTTTTGAGAATTATCACGGCCAAGAGGACATCAAAAAATACAGGATGACTGAAAAGTCCTTTTCTCTTATAAAATCGGTAACTTTAATAGAAACTTTTGAGGAATCCAGCGAAACAATGTTGATTTTCAGATTCTTCATACATTTTCACATGAAGAGTCAAATTTTTAGATCGCTAGCTTTACTCGGACAATTTTTATGTATGTTTCTTTCTGGTAAAGAAAGAAGCATACATAAAAACATAAAAAGGATACATAAAAATTGTCCGAGTAAAGCTAGCGATCTAAAAATTTGACTCTTCATGTGAAAATGTATGGAGAATCTGAAAATCAACACCGTTTCGCTGGATTCCTCAAAAGTTTCTATCAAAGTTACCCATTTTATAAGAGAAAAAGACTTTTTAGCCACTTTGTTTTATTATTGACAAAGTCATTAACTTTTAAACTCGAAATAACGGACAAAGACCCAATACTTTATACTAATTGCGTAATTGGTTTCACACTAGACTCGATGGATTGCATTGGCCTAAAATATGATGCTTTTGAAAGGAACCTTTGCGTTTTCTAGGCCCATTTATCTCTAGTTAACTGAAATCTAGATATCTGAAACCTTTTCAGGAGGATATTACGTATTCTGGAAAACGGAGAGTGTCCATTTAAGAGGAAAACGTGTTGCAAGCAATTATTTCATTTCAGGCTCCATTGCTTTGTTCATTTCTTTCCGTCTTTCCAAACTTTACTTAGAATAAAGTAGATCAGTACTTGGGTTTTTGAGTATTAGTTACAGTTGTAAGAATTAAGTACAATTGAAGTTACAATCATGTTATACCCTCGCGAAATTCGCGTTATTAAAATTTGCTTACATCCAAAAATCCAATCGCACAATGGAATCTGTTGTTTTGAGGTTTTTAAAATGCAAGCTTTGCGGGTTATAATAGGAAAGTACCCATTGAATCTTAGTTATCAAATTGTTAGCGGAGCAGTTATAGCCCATAATCTATGGGTAACTCTGGTTAACTCAGTGAATTCAAAATTTGCTAACCTTATCAACTCCTCCAACTTGAAATATTTCTGCGGCATTACAGACAATCAAAATTTTTGGTTCATTGTAGCAAGGTACCAAAAATCACTTCTGGGATAAAACCCCTGCTTTACTAGTTTAGGCAGTGAGTTAGGTCAAAGGGTCAAGAGACAAAGGACCGCTATGGGTTGACCACGAGAGCCAGCTAATAGTGAGGCTAGCATCGTTTCCTTTTCAATCATCTCCCAGATCCTCCCTCACTTTCCCAAGAGTTGGGCACACCGGCCATTTTATGAGTTGGGGCTGGGAATATAAAACATGGTCGACGCCGGGATTCGAACCCGTGACCTCTGACCTGTCCGCTTACCGGACGAAGGCTCTACCGACGAGCCACACCAAGACGTATCCCATTGCCGCCAGGGTATTCCTTACTCAAGAATACAAGCAAACGTCGGATTAGATTTGTCTTACAATCGGTAGATTGAATTGGAAATTTGCTAATCTTATCATTGAAACCGTGAATAACCAAATAGCCGTTAGACAAGGCTGAGCCTAGGTCAAAGGGTGCAACAAGGACATAGTGAGGGTTGAGGCAAGTACCCTTTCTCTTTCTCCCAGGCTCCCCTTGGCCCTCTCTTTCACCCCTTTCTCTTTCCCCAAATAGCCTAGCTGCCACCTTATTGATCCCCATCGCCATTGGTTTTCCCCTCAACGATTTTCTTTTCTCTTTTACTAAATCTCTCTTCCATGCCTTTATAGACATAAACAATCTATTCATATCAATATATTCCTGGAAAAATCTATCCAAAGCAATTCTTCTTTTTGAGTATTGACCTTCACGCAAGTTTTACAAATTTTGAAACCCTTTTACGTAATAGTAACGAAATTTTCCTTCTTTTTGAAAAATTTCAAGTGTTTTTTGAAGTGGGGTAATTTTCGCAAACCTTGATTTTCCAGAAAAATTTGCAAATAACTTTAATTCAGGTGTCACAACAAAAATTTCCAAATGGTAAGCTAAATGGGGTGTTGTGTTTTTGAAAATTATTCACCTATTTAGTTGATCATTGGCTCAGATCCTCTAAAAATCTGGAAATTTTTAGGCTGATGCAGATTTGCCGACGTTCTCGAAATACGCGAGTCTAGTGATTCGGCCTTCGAAAATTCCCGCTCGAATCGATGAAATTCAGGAGAATAAAAGGCTGAATCGACAAGAGAAAGTGAGTAAATGGAAAGTTTTTGGTGTTATCTGGTTAAATCCCAAGTCCAAAGCTAACATACATAGCTAATTGGCCAATTTTAAGCTCCTTTTTAGACTCAAATAATATTAGAGAAAATAAAGAAGCCAGCCTGTTTTATCAAACATTCTCGCTTGGCAGACAGTTGCATTCTGTTCCAAATTTAAGTCACAAGGTTGTAAGCTTCGTCTGTTCTTGGCGATGATAACAGCCGCGTCAACACTTGTTTACTTTCAAAAGTTTGCGAAAATTTTAAACACTCGAAGTGCCTAGGAATCAATCTGCTTTCAGTGATGAATTTTGCAAAAATTTCTGGAGGTATGGGGAATTGAACCCCAGACCTCTCGCATGCTAAGCGAGCGCTCTACCACTGAGCTATACCCCCAGGTGATAGTGGGCTCGTTAAGATGCCTTTTGTCTCGCAATGACAGAGATTTGTTGTACCCTGTAAGGTGGTGTGGATCGGCATTCTTCAAGTTTAGAGTTTAGTTAACTCCCTGGAGTAAGGAGGTCAGGTGCGTTGTGGTTTAGTGGTTAGCACAGTTGCCCTGTAAGCGAAAGGTCGCGGATTCGAGTCCCAACGGCGCACAGATTTTTGATCTGCCCTAGTTCCAACTGTTTGTTTGAAGGGTTCGAGATTGTTGTTTTTTCAATGAGACTCAGCTCTTGTTTTTGAATTCTCAAAAAACTTTGTATCATTGTTTATCCATTTCAACACAGCTTTCTATTCGGTCAGCTGCTTTTCTTGAAGATATTTGGGCGATTGAATGCTCATTGGGATTTCTTGAAATCTTACTACCAGCAACACATAGACAAACCGTGATTACAGTGGTCAAAAGTAATGGCACCTTCAAAAGAAAATTTCACATATAGATTCAAGATTTCCCTTCTATCCATCGATTTTCAATCGGGTTTAAGTTTTTAGATATTACAAGAACTAAACTTGTTATAAGTAGAAAAAATTTTAACTTGTTTCCTACCCGTTTCCGAAAAAGTTCTAACTGTTATTTTAATGATTTAATGCAGAATCTGAAAGTCTGAAAGAATAATAAGTTTAAATCATGTAGTATCTAAAAATTTAAACCCGATTGAAAGTCCATGGATAGAAGGGAAATCTTGAATCTATATGTGAAATTTTTGAGAAGGTTCCAATCCAACTTTTTTGCTCACTTTATCTTTTCCCTTTTCTAGAATCTTTCTAAATTTGTCTGTGTTTTACTTCAAACTTAATTCATTGCTAAGCCTATTTCGAAAATTACATCCACTTATTTGCAAGGATAAGCTTGATTGTTTTATGATATTTGGCTAGCTTTCAGAGATTGACAGAGCGTTTAAAAAGTCCACATAAAAGTTGATCAGCTAAAAGATAAGGAATTGTTGTTGATAGTTTTAGTAAAACTTTTCGAATATAGTTGAATGCTGATTAGGATTCGAGAGAAAGGCATCGATCTATCCGATTGGGAAAGGGGAAAACGAGTGATTCAAAGTGATTCATCGTCTTTCGTCGTAATCCTAATATCATATTGGTTCTTCGATTTAGAACTCGATACCATTGTATTTTTCTTTCAAGATAATTTTATAGAACTTTACTTTAACTTAACGCTTCTCATTTAGAAAAAATTGAATCACACAGGATTTAACTTTTCTTAAAGAAACCTTCTAAAAAAGTGATTCGAAAAAGTATTTCATTAATTTAAACAATTCAATTTAAATTACATTTTATATTTTTACAGTTCCTGAACTAAAAATATGTTCTTTTAATAGGAGTTGCATTGAAATTTAATTAAACTGAAATTGAAATTGAAAACATTTACCTAATAAGTATCATTTTAGATCATTTTCTAGGAAACTTTGAAGCTTTTCATTTGCTCCAACTTATTCTGCGATTTTCGCGAAAGTTTATCTAAATCTAAATTTTTATCTAAATAACCCAATTTCCTCTTACTCCATCAAAGATCGATTTCGCAATAGCGATCATTAAAAAACCCACTTCTAACCCGTGGGTGTTCCCATTGGCATTTTGTGGAGATATCCTTGCACCGCAGGCATTCGATAATCATTGTCACATCTCCTTTAAAAGTTCTTCCAAGAAAGTCTTTTTTTCTGTGTTCTTCGCTAAACCAAATCATTTTTAAGTGTGAATTTGCTAAGAAAGTTTCTGCACTGTAAATGTGATGTCATGGTTGTGTAGAAATACATCGCAGCTCAATGTTTATATAAAATATATATTTGTTTTTGAGATCCAAATCTTTCACAAAAGTTCTTTAAAGTTTAAGCTCCGCAATTTCCTCTTATTCAAGTGCTTTCTTTACCCGTTTTCCAAACAATAAAAAAATCTCTTGAATCCAGTTATTAGGTTGGCCGGAAAGTCTTTTCCGCTTTTTTAAAGGTTAGTTTTTGAAATAAATAATGAAGCAATTGATCTATGATTTGTTTTAGCAAAAAATTCCTATTATTTATTTACAAATTGTTCTTTAAGAGATTCTGAAAAGCTCGCGTTAGTTCATTTTTTTATAGGTGTAAAGTCGAGGAGTGAAAAACGATGAAACTCCGATTTGAGCACTTTCTGTCACAGAAACCGATTTTGGTAGACAAAAGATAGAGAATGAAAAGTTAGGTAGATAGACAAATTTTCAGAGAATTTGATTCAGTTCTTTTCATTCTATGTTCGTTGTAAGGATTTTAGGAAAAACCAGAATTCCCGTTCGAATTTGTTTCAAAGCGGACTTAAATTTACCTAGAAATGAGCTAAATAAAATAGTTAATCTCTTTTATTTAAAGCAAATCAGATGTTGATCGGCTAGTTATACATTTATAAACGAAAATTTCAAAAAAGTGGACAAGACTTTCAGGTGAAACCAATATTACTGAACAAACCAATATTTATTGACATGAATTAAACCGGTTTTGAATCCTAGTTTGCCTTTTTAGATGAAAAAAAGCTTTCTAGTTTTGAAAATATGCATTAAAAGTACCTTGATTTGCTTCTTCAAACTTTTCTCTTCTATCTCTTCTAAAGGAAATTTCTGTTTGTTGAAAAATACCTGAAAAAAAAACGTTCTTGATCTAAAACTTGCAAAATTCACCGTTTGTTCATCATAAATTTAGGCTAAGAAAAGTTTTCTGACGAATTTATGGATCGTAAATCTTCAGCTCACAACAAAAACAAAGCTCTCCAGCGGGAAAAACTTTCCTTGCAAAAACTAAAAGCTGATTTGGACAAAGAAGGCTATTTTTAGCTTTTACCACTGTTTTCACCAGTTTTTAATCTAAAAACTTAATGTAATCTAGAATTTTTTTGGGATTAACTGAGCAAATAAATCCAAAATTTTCTATCGAACTTGCCTATTTGACTCGTTTTTAAACATTACCCTTTTGTCTTGATTTTAGAATCTCCAAAGTACTTTTTCAGTTCCAAATTTACACAATAGACATACAATTTGTCCTTTTTTTGCAACCCGGAAACTTCAATTGTTTGTTTTTGTTTGAAAAAATATGTTCATCATGATCTTCTCTCGCAAATAGGCTTAATCGAACGTCTCATCGTGACGTGATTTCCTCGTTTTCTTTGTTGATGTAATCTGGGGTCCCTCCGCGGGACGTGGTTTTTTCTGAGACGGAAATTCTGGACATTAAAGGGGAAATGGTTTCGCAATGAGGCCAGCAAAGTGTTCTAGATAAAAATTTTGTGGCTCTTTCTAGTATTAACCTGGCTAGTCATGGCTTTTGGCTTTTTGAGACTTTTTGCAAAAGTAATTCGTGCCACAAAAGGCGAGATATTCGGCTTTAAAGTTTTAGGGCTCTCTTTTTGAGGCCTGTTTACGAAGATGTAAGAAATGGATAGTGTATGAGGATAATATCTCGGGTTTGCAGGGTTTTTGGCAAAAAAATTTACGGATTCGTGATCTCCGTGGTTGATTCTATAAGGTTTATGTATTCCGAACCTCAGGCTGTGATCATTCCCTGATTTTGGGAATATTTTGTGCCCCGCCCCTTTTGCCATTCTAACTTTATACGCATACTAACTTTGAGCTCAAGTATTTTTCAATTTAAATATTCTCGGTATCATTAGATGCGCCAAGTCTTTCTCTGTCGATTGGTATAAAACTATTTCAATTGGACAGCCCAACACCAAGAAATTTGAGCTCAAAGTTGGATTGTTAATGGGAAAAGGGGCAGGGGGCGTATCAAATGTTCAATAACCTTCCCAGAATAAAGGAGATTTTATGTTTTATAAAGGAATAGGCTCATCTCATTGTTAGCTGCTACAGGACCCTGGTTAGTACAGTACCCTGGTTGTTACAATACCCTAGCTACTTTCGTATCCAGCACAATACCTAGCGGCTACAGCATCCTAGTCGCTACTGTACCCTAGCTGCTATAGTACCCGGCTGTATCTAAGCTGCTACAGTGCCTCAACTTGCTACAGTGCCTCAACTTGCTACAGTGCCTCAACTTGCTACAGTGCCTCAACTTGCTACAGTGCCTCAACTTGCTACAGTAGCAGCTAGGATAGAATAGCAGCTAGGGTACTGTAGCCGGGCAGCTGCTACAATTACCCTAGTTGCTAGGTACCCTAGCTTCTACAGTACCCTGGCTGCTAATGTGTCCTGGCTAAATATATATATTGTTAGCCTAATTACAAGCCAATAGCCATTTTAGAACCATAGCACTTCAGAGTGTCAGATTTTTTTAGTCAAAATGATACATGCCTTATATGGTTCATAACACAGAACAGATAAGAACTGACTTAATGTCATGCCCCAACCAAGTCAATATCAGAAGACGGAAACTCCGAGGTGTTCTCTGTCACATTTCCCCTTTTCCGACTCTCCCGACCACTTCCAAGTCCTAGTGACACCCGCTACAAGAAGAGCCGGGAAGGGCTGAAGACTGAAAGGACTGAAAGGACCCTTTCAGTCCTCTTGTTTGTTCTCCGTTTCTGTTCATCTTTTCTCTTTTTCCACAAATTTCTCTCCGTCCATTCCTCCCATGTCCCACCTCCAATCCATGGACAGCGACAACGCTGCTTTCCATGACCCTTCCACTACCATTTTTTAACGATTTTGGTTTTTTAGACTTATTTAGTTAACAGTTATTTCTTGGTTATCAGTTTATAGTATAGTTAGAGCTACTTATGAAGTTATACTACAGTTTTAGAATGGCTTAGAGTCTGATCAGGGTTGCCAACAAAAGCCAAGTCTGGTCAAATCTAAGCCAATGGCTTCTAGTTGGCATTGTTCTGGAATTTCGGCCATATTGGATTTGGCTTGGCTTGGCTTGAAATTTAGCTTTTTTTGCCAACCCAAGTCCTGATCCTGACCTAGTAGAATAAAAAAAACCAAATTTTGACTTAAACCGTGCTCATAGCCTAATGGTAGTGTGAGCCGTTTCAATCTTTTGCATCCCTGGTTTGATTCCTGTATACGGAAATCTTTTTTGCAAAATGTAACTAAATATTAGTTTAATTTAAAAGCAAGATCAACTTTTGTTTCAGCCAAAAGCTTTGAATCCTTTCGAAATCTACTCTTTGTCAGTTTCAAAAACATTTTGAGGTTAAAATGGTTTTTGACTCAATCTTTGTCTCAATTCTGATTTGTTTTTCTTTCACTAATCATCCATTTCCCCAAATTCTTTCAGATCCATCGATCTCCTTCCAAAGAAATCACCGATTACCGTATGTAAATTGAGCAATGTCCTTTCTTCTTCGTTCCGCTTCTTGTCAACGGGAGTCAATCTCTGGCGATAATTTGAGTGCCTTAATGAAAAGAGAAGCCTACAAGAATTTCTCCTCTTATGGATCAACGGATTCCTCTGATTCGGGTGTCAGCTTTGATTTGGACTCAGCTTTACCGCATCAAGTCGAAGATGAGAATTTATTGATGTCCCACCTTCTTGATCTTCATTTACATTCAACAATTGCACATCAGGTTGGCTAGGGAATACAAAAGAGCTGTAGGCTTACATTGAGAAAATGGTCAAGTTGTTTTTTGAAGAAAAATGAATCAGTGAGTTAGAACTGGTGTTTTTACATTCTTCACAATCTAATCCAACAATCCAATTTTTTAGGTGAAGAAACTTTTGCGCAAAGGCGGATGGCCGCTGCATCACGATGTGAGGAAACAGTTATGGATTTTGCTGTGTCGTGACAAAAATTATGACAGCATGCGCTCGGTCTACGAGAGTAAACTGCAAGAGGAGACGAGCAGTAGTGGTTGGTTTTGAGGGTTTGAATTATAAAACAAGTAGCTGACAAGGGAAGTACCCACCGCCCATCGCTAGACGCCCAAGGAGAAGATCTTTGTTAATAGGTTGATGCATAAGTCTTTTCGTTTTTTTCGTACTTCTGTTAAAAAGTAACAAATTCACCAATTAATCTATAGTTTGCTCTATAAAAAAAATGTTTTTTTGTTCAATTTCCATCTTTTTAAATCAATTTCGGTTCACTTTCAAGCAAATTCGAGAGTGAAAAACGCCTTTTTCGTAAAAATCTATAAAAAACTCTACGGAAAAATTGGCTGAATGACTTTCTCTGAAATTTTGGCGAAATATCAAACTTTTTTTCTCTATCTTTTATCTATTGACACGAAGATAGGTTTTCTTTAGCTAAGGTGTCTAAAACGCATCATCGAGTTAGCCCTTTTTGACTACCCGACTTCATACTCTCAAGAAAATCCAGGCATAAAATATTTTTAAACCCGTTTTAATGTTATTTTGCAGAAAAATAATTGGTTTTTCTAATGAAATCAACCGTAGTTTAATTGGTGCATTTGTTGGCTTGAAACGGCAGACGAAAAGGAACAAAAAGACTTATGCATCAACCTAATATTTTCATCTTTTCTTTGTTAATTTTCTTTATTTATTGAAACTTATAAATGTTTAGCAAAGTAAGTAAAGATTTACTTAAACATTTTTGCTAAGAATTTCAGATGACCAGGTTGACCTTAATTTACCTCTAAATTGATTAATTAAACCAGATAAATTTATATTATCTATTTTCCTATTATTTACTTTTATATATACCATTATATTATAAGTTTACTACAGTAATTAGTAGTCAAGATCTTACATTTTCCAATCAAAACACTTGCAGCTAGCAGAAATCATAGTACTTCTTTTAAACTTGGGTAATTCAACCAAACAAAATCTCTAGTTTACCTCATATTTACCAATCAACAGAAAAAAAACTCTCATCATTCACTATTTATCAAGCGATTATCATTGTCTCTAGAAAAGTACACCGCCTAATCCCCGGCACTGTCAGCTGTATTTGTTTGGATGAGCAAAAATGTCCCCAAACTTTCTCTTCAACTTCTCATCCAATTTGTTCTCGCACAAACACAAACTTTTCTTCTATTGTTAGTTTAGAAAGTTTACCCCAATTCCTTTTCTCCTTTCTGTTGACTTTTCTATTCTTTAGCCATATCGATGAGAGAATCGGTAAATATAGTTGACAATCGACTTTCGCACATACAAATCCCGAGAAAAAGGGTGCTACTACACCAGGAAATCTGTATTTAATAAAGCCAAAAATGAGAAAAGCCGTCATTTTTTCATTTTTTATGGAAAAATCTTAACAAATAGCTGTTTTGACTTGTCTTTTGCTCAAGAAATTTTCTATTAAATCTTATCCGTGCCAGTAATTTTGTTAAGTTAAATGTTACCTATTAAATGTTACTTAATTTAGGAAATAGGAAATAGTTAGGAGTAAAGAAAGAAGTCTACACCAAAGGAAGTTGAATAATAAATGCAAATTGCTTAGTGTAGTGACCACAAAAAGGTTCTTAGAGAAATAAAAGACTGAAAAACAGAAGTTCTGGATCTTACAATTAGATTAGCAAACTAACAAAGCTGCTTCTGAAAAGTCCAGTTTTGATTTTTAGTTTGGCTTGGCTTTGGAAAAGATTAGAAATTCTCAAAATCCCAAATTTCAATGTTTTGCTTGAACACTTTAGCTTATGAGCAGTCCTATGGAGATTATGAGATAAGAACACAGAACAACTGGATCTTGGCTAAAAATTCCTTTTCAGTCAAAATTCACCATCCGCTTTTTGTCCGAGAGGAGGGCGCCGTGCTCAACAACTTTGAGCTGAACGAGGATGGAGCGATGAGATTGTTGCGCTTGTTGGGAATGGTTGAGAACGATCATCCTACACTCACCTCGGCTCCAGTGGGTTTAAAGACATTATTCAAATCAGATATTTGAATAATGGCTTTTTGCTAAAAAGGAATCGAACGCGAGCAAAAAATGGAGCGCTTTTTTTGTATGCAAGCGTTTTATCCACTAGACCATCAAACCGTGTTTGGGACCTTTAAGAAAGTCTTGATAAAGGCATCGGCATCGACTCGGCGTCAAATTTTCACCCTAAAACTTAAAACACGTATAACTTTTTATAGAAAGCAATTTGGCAAAAACAGAAATCAGATTCGGAATCAGCGTAAAATTCTGCGTTGGATGGCTTATCTCATCCTACGGTTGCCTTTCCCTTTTTAAGTCTAACAGATAAAATATGTGCTTGGATACAGTTTCTGAAAGAATCATTCTGTTTAGGGAATGGGTAAACTGATTACTAGCAATTTATAGCTCATAAACTTCATTAGATCTTAAGATTTTTTAAATCTTACCAATTTTCATTACTATGACTATTTTTTTTATTGAATTTATTGAACCCGTTTTAGTTCTTGTACCCTCTATGCGCCCTTCTCCTTCACTTCATGTCGGATACTGACGCCTACGCTTGCACGGAGTACCTTTTACGAAAGGTAACATCATTCAAATCTGGATTCAGATCTGAATCAAATAACGTGCAGTAGCTGGCTGAAATAAGGAAGTCTTGTCGTTTTTTCGTACTTTCGTTGTTCAGTGTTTGTGTATTTCTAGCGTCGTTGGGGTGCTCGTGGTCCCCCGACATTCAATGGTTATATCGATGAAAGGAGTCGTTGGGAGAGAAAGAATGCCCCCATGGTAGGCATAGAATGAATGAAAAAAAAAGAGAAAGTGCATGTGTACATGAAGTGGGCAATAACCTCCGCCAGGACTGTTCTTTCTAGGCCATGCCGAGCCAAAGCCAAGGTTTTAGGCTAAATCCAACAGTAAGGCTGAAAATCTAGGCCAAGACCGATTGAAAGTCATTGGCTTTGGCTTGGCTTTGGCTTTGGCTTTAGAACAGCCCTGATCCTCACCGATTAGTTCAACCGATTCGTTCATTTGACCCTTGTATGGAGGAGATTTTTGGTTTATCCCCTAATCACTTCAATTAACAATACCAAAAAAATATCTTGCATCTTTCTATGGTTTAGCCTTAAGCTTCTAAAATTCATGATTAGATTGGTTTCCATTTGATCGTTTGTTCATTGTTTTGATTGTTTTGAGATGATTGTTTTGATTTGATTGTTTTCTAAAAGTCGTTAGGTAAAAGTTTCAGTACCTCTTACTACCCAACAACAAAGCTACCGTAACCCTATATCATACTGCTTAGAAGCTACCATACCTCTGAGCACTATACAGCTACAAAGCTCAGCTGATGGTCAGACTGTCAGGCTTTCGAGCTACCGTAATCCCGCACTGTGCGGTAGATGATGGAAACTTTTTTAAGCCTATTTTTATAGCAAATAACTAAAGAATAGTTTAATTTAGAGCTTATGAGCAAAATTAAAGTTACGGTAGTTTTTCCTAGCCATACCCTTTTAGAAAACGCAATTGTTGTTTCAAAAATCAAAAAATGACAAATTAAGGGTGTGTTTCTACAAAACTTGACTATTACAAGCAATGCAGTAATTCCCTAACCTAAAACTACCAGAGAAAGATGCAAATTTCTATAAGAATATCTTTAGATAAGGATTTTTGTTTTCTAAACACTATAGTTCAACCTATTCCCCTTATCCCCAGCATGTGTCAATCCTTGATTTTCCCATCTATCCCTCTACTACCTCTCATCTGTCAATTCAGTTACCATTTTCAGTTGAAAAAAATGATTTGTAACATAGAAAATTGACTTTTTTCAGGGTTTCCTGATTAAATCGACGAAAGAATGGTATGCATCGGCTTACACAGTGCTCGCGCTCATCAAAAAGCACAAATCATCCGCGTACACTTTGTTGAAAAGACGATGCAACACTACCGATGATAGCGTGATCGTGGAAACGGTGAGGATCTGATAAAACAATTTGACAAGTGGAAATTTAAACTTAACACATTTATGGCAAAGTTATTTTTTGCTCAGCGACCAGTTTTCCCTTTTTGATGTGACGTTCAGATCCTCAAAGAGAAAATAGTTTCTTTTTCTACCGTAATCCACTTTTCATTTCGCACTAACTTTGACTGAAACAAGTTTAACTTAAATGTCTGATTCCAAAAGAGTTTAAATTTATCAAAAATAGCTTTTAGATGCGTGACTATTTACAATGGATCTTCCGGGGCCTCCCCCTTACCTACGTTGTTCGTGTGATGGATTGTTATCTTGTTGAAGGGCAAAAGTTCATCCTCCGTGCCGCCATCGCTATTGTCTATATTTGGGCAAAATCGCAGAAGGTTTGTATAATAAAATTTTCAACTAAAATTCTATTAGGATTCAAACACGGACCGTTATGGTGGAATGGGGCAACAAGAGAGAATTCGAGCAGTTAAAGAGGAGATCATGAACACGGCGAAGGGATGTGAGGTGGATGAAAAAGATTGAGATTCTAAAAACTGTAATTTTATGTTTTCAGATTTCTGCTGACACTTTCATTGAGACTTGCATTCGGATTCGGAACCTGAAGAGCTCAACGATTCAACGCTTTCAGGAACACTTTGAGAAACAGGTGCATAAAGTGAAAAATATGATCAGAGTACGGTTACAGTTGGGCTACAGTATGATTACAGTACGATTACAGTTTTGACTAGCCCACAGTAGTACTCAAGTAGGATTCCAGTATGACTGATCTACAGTAAGACTACAAGAAGATTACAGCAGCATGACTGGGCTACAGTAAGGGAACAGTTTGACTAATGTACAGTAAAACACAAGTAAAGTCACAGTATAACTAATCTATAGTAGGATTACAGTAAGGTTAAAATACTACAGGTCTATAGTAAGGCTACACCATAACTTTTACAGTTAGGTTATAGTATGACTGGTCTACATGGTGGTCCACAATTAAAGCGCCGCGCTCTAGAGGGCTTAGATTGGCCAAAATTGAATCGATCGTTCTGATTTTTCTGGAGGTAAACCTTAAGTATTTCTTCTGAAACGGTGCCGATTATCTAATCGATTCAAGCTTTCAACTTTTTTATATACCCTTCCAAAGTTGGGAGGCAAGTGTCGCTCGGCTACGATCGGCTCTCTACTTTGGAAGACTATATAAGAAAGTTGAAAGCTTGAATCGATTAGATAATAGGCACCTTTCCAGGAGACAAAGTTAAGGTTTATCTCCAAAAAAATCAACGATTGATTCAATTTTGGCCAATCTAGGCCCTCTAAAGTGCGGCGCTGTGGGCCACTCTGTACAGTGGAACTACAGAGACTACAATAGCTATCTTTTCACTATCTTTTCTTAAAAAGTTTATGGTAAAATTTTGACCATTGTTACAGTATCGTAAGATTTTCTATGTTTTAGCCGTTTTAGATTAAATTTTATGTCAAAGATTTTAGGTGGCTTCGGAAGTTGAAGCAAAGGTATCAAAGGCAAAGCGCCCGTCGAAGGCCCGTCTCTTCACTGATGCCTTTCAAAGTGTGATTGGTAAGTGAAAAGTTGTACTGTAGATAAAGATTTTATTTACAGTTGACCCCGATCAAGCCTCTTACATCATGCAATCATTGCCGGCTCGTTTACAATTGAGCACCCCACAATTGTTGTTCCGTCTCAGCAAAGATGGAGCCTCATTCACGCAGCTTTGGACAAAGTAAGAAATATGTCTGAAATGTCGAGAATTGTTGCAAAAGTTTTAGAAGCTGGAGATAGCTAGCTACACTACTGGACAATGAAATATCATACTTGAAAAAAGATCGTGACTTTCGTGCATCTGTAACTCCATTGTCTTTACCGTATTTCTAAATATTAATATTACCATTATGTAGCCCTTGAAAAGAGCTTTCAGAAAATGTATAACACTAATAGTTTAAACTCAAAGACAAGGGAGTTACAGACGCGCGAAAGTGACGACCTTTTTCCAAAGATGATATTTCATTGTCCAGTACTGTAACTATAAGACAATGTCAAATTGCTCATAAACCATTCAAAAGTTTCAGAAAGTCTAGATTAGCTCAGCCAACTGTATCCATTTGCTAAATCGAATAATGTAAAGAATTAGTCAAGTACAGACAGTTCTTGACAGTAGATTGGTTAACTTTCAGAGTCGATGAAGCCGATCAATCACTACTCATCATCAAATCGATCAAGGGTGAAGTATTGGGTGCATATTGTAGTGCCTCGTGGTCGGAGAGAAATGATCGAAAAGAGAGATCAAAGTCAAAGTGAGAAAGTTGAAGCTGTTGTAGCTATTGTACACAAATATTTAGATACTTTGGCACCGGGGAATCGTTTGTTTTTCGCGTTGACAAAAATGATATCGCCGATTTACCGGTAGAAGCTTGCTGTAGACAGATGACCATTAATCTTTTAGATAATTTATCAATGGGTTGGCAATTCATCGGATGAGCCCGACAAGGCTCCGCAAATGTTCATGGCAGCCGGAGATAGACTGATGATTGTAAGTCACTAACAAGACACTGTAAACCTTGGAAAAACCCCAAATCATGAACTGTTAAGCTCCAGATCAGGATTCGTGCTTAGAAGGCCAGGCTAGAACCAAAGTTTCTGGTTGATCAATGGATTTTCAAGGGTTGTAAAGCAGGGCTTTGGCTGTTTCTCTTCTGTTTCTGGAAGTATTAGAAGTTACTGATTGTCCTGATGTAACAGTACGACTGAATTTTTTCAAAACCTTGTTTTTCGATATAAAGTTGTTATTAGGTTGACAAGAAAGTTCGTAGAAAAAGTTTGTACAATAATTTCTCAAAAACTAAAGCCTGTATTTATTCAAGATAATCACCATTTATTGAGCAAAGCACAGTTTCCTTTCTCCTAAAAGTTCTTTGGCTGGCGGTCGAAGAAACCACGGAGTTTTCGGAGTCCGTTTTCGACCTCAGCTCGGTCCCCGAAGTGCTCAAGTTCTGCAGCTAGCTTCCGGAAAAAATGAAAATCTTGTAGTCTTGTCCATAAAAAAATATGAATCTCTTCATGAACCTACTTGACTGGAACTTTTTTTGACAAAAAACAAAATGACACGTCGAAGATGACCATCGAGCAGCTCTTGAGGAGCCTCCAAAGAAATAAAAATAAAGCTAACAAGCAAACGAATTTCATTTGGACTTTTCAGCGATCAATAGGATAGAATTGAAGTAAACAAACTCCTTTATTAAATACTCTGATGCTCAAAGCGCTAGAGAAATCAGAGACAAAAAAATTCCACGGTTTTTTCTTGCCAACCTAATAGTTTTGGGTTCGGTTCTGACAAACAAAATGCTGAAAGGAGAACTTGGTGTGCTAGAAAGGTTGTACTTTGATTTTTTTAGGTTCAAAGTACAATTTGAAAGATCCCACTACTCACCAAAAGTAATACGATAATCTGAAAGTGGTACCCTTACTTCGAACCCGCTTGCAATTCACAACTGATAGTAAATCTAAATAGGAATACACAAAGTACCCCAAAACAGACTACTTACTTGCAAATTTCGAATTAGAAACTATCAAAAAACATTCAGACAATAACATCAAATTTAGGTTGGATCGGGAACAGGAGATGCGATTCGAATCTCGGAGGAGTTGAGCTGTGGGATGTCTGGCCAATCAGCGACTTTCGGCTCTCCGCCACTCGTCGACTCTCGCGCTTTCGATATTCACGAATTGGAGGTGTTCAATGTGAGCTCGACTCAATGAATTTTTTCATTTAGTTCAATTTAATCCAAAAATTCAATTCTGCCAGTAGTTTAGTATCTGTATTGTAGTAATCAATAAAATTTTAAGAAACTCGTAAACGCTTGTCATCTAGCGCACTGAAATGGCAGTAAAGCCAAGATTCAAGGCACTAGACTGCTTGCGTTTACATTTTTTCTGCATTTTACAGTTACATTTTTTTGCATCCTAGTCACTTTTTGCGTTTTGCTCTAATCGATTTGTTTTTCACTTATTTTGCATTTTAAAAAAATCCAAACTTCTTCCATTTCCACGCTTGCCATATATAAAAGTTCTCATATGCCAAATTTTCCATTTTCGTTGACTTTTTGAGATTCAAAAACGTCAGTGCAATATTTATTCGTTCTGTAGTTGTTTTTGTTTCTATTTACAGCTTTAATTTGATTCTGATTTGATTCAGGTACATTATGATAAAGGCCTGGAAAATTTGCAATAAAATTTATTAGTGATTCGTTTTTGGATAAGCAGAGCTTCTCAAAAAGCACCAAAACAGAGAAAAACAAAGAAAAATCCAATTTGCGTATAAGTTTATCAGCTTGTTTTAAGGGTCTATCCCAAAACAGCGCCGCCAGAATAGCGCCGACCAAAACAGCGCCACCCAAAATAGCGCCGTACCCAAAACAGCGCCAATGAAAAACGCCCAAAACAGCGCCGATGCAAAACAAAGTTTTTTTTCTTTTACAATGTACACTCATTTTTTTTATTAGCAGCTTTTAATTTTGATAATTTATTTAAAAATAACATGACCAACAACAATAAACGATAACAATTAAACGATGCATAAAAAACATTAAAATAGCATGAAATTAATAGTCCAAGAGACTCTGAAACATCATAACACTAGCGATGATGAACATAAACGGCTAGAGCTTTCAAGTGAACCGTAGTAGAAATAAAAAGTTAGTGAAAATGTTAAAAAACAGGCCGTAAAAGGAAAAAAAAATGTTATTTTTGGTTAAAGCCAATTTTATAAACGCTATCGCAGGTTTCTATGCGTAAAGCTTTAAAAAAATCGGATTCTCCGCCTTTTTTACCCTAAAAACACAAAAAGTGGACAGAAAAAGTTAAAAACAGCAAAGAAAAAGCAAAAGCAAAAATCTATAAAATAATTTTTTTTGCTCGTCGCTGTTTTGGGCGTTTTTGCATTGGCGCTGTTTTGGGTGGCGCTGTTTTGGGTACGGCGCTGTTTTGGTCGGCGCTGTTTTGGCGGCGCTGTTTTGGGATAGACCCTGTTTTAAAATTCGCATTCACAAGTTTTGACAAAAGATGTTCAGCCTATAAATTGAATAGCCATTAACTGTGTTTATAAAATCATTATTTTCGAAACAGTTCCATTTGCGTCGTTGCTTTTCAAAGCAACTTTTTTCCCTCAAAATAGTCCCGTTCTTTTAACAATTTAATCATTTTAAGACAAGAATCTATGCTTAAAAGTGCGTAACGATAGTATTTTTTTGAAAAGCCTACAAAAGCGCTAAATTACGAAAAAATATATGAAAAGCGTTAAATTGTAGCCCAAGTACACTTCTTCACCATTTGAGTACAAAATGTTTGCATGTTTTTTGGGCCCATCTCTCCAATTTCCTCCTTTTTATCCCGGTGTCGATTATTGTGTTTTTAGAATACAAACGAATCTCTGGGTGTCTCTGTATCGTGAAAAATGCTGTTATGTTGCAGAGTGAGGAGATCTCCGAAGGCTTGTGCGGTTGATGTGGACGAGGAAGGGCCCTATCTGCCAGCTGTTTCATTTATCATGCGTCGTCTACCCTCGCAACTTTTCGACGAGTCTTTTCGGAGCACAATCCGTGAGTGTTTTTGCAAGTATGGTGTTAAGGGTCCTTGTTTATTATTAAGGGTACATGCAAAATAAAAATTATTTGTGAGGGGTAATTTTCCCTTTACTTTTTACCACTTCCATAATTACCAAACAAGAAACAGGTTTTGCGGTATTATTTAATTGGTATGATAAGCTCTTTTTCCGTTTTCAAGGTTAAAAACAAATGCGTAACCTATATAGGACAACAACGATCATTCCAAAGCAATGCTATTGGGGAATTTAAATTAGCTTGTTAGATACGACGTTATTTAAGTATTTATTGCAGCTAAAGATAGAATAATACAAATTCATGTTGATTTCTTTTTCGCCTTAGGGCGATTGCTTGATCATTTGAAGCAAAAATGAATGTTTTCTACTTGAAATTGCTAAAAATCCGAGGGTCAAATCAACCATGAAATTGACAAATTTTTGTTTTGTATTATATTAGTTTGCTAAAGTCGTTTCTTTTAGTTCACGATGAGCAGTCCGCGTATCTCATGAAGAATCTTCCATCGCGTTATCAATTCACTACTCCACAACTCCTTTATCGTCTCACCGATGATGGAATCTCGTTCAGCCGCTTTTGGGCAAGGTTTTTTTACTTCAAATGCCATAGAATTTCATTTTTTTAGAGTTGAAGACGCCGAACAATCAATTATGGTTATTCGAACAATTGATGGTGAGATTTTTGGTGCATATTGCAGCTCCTCGTGGATTGAGCGAAAGGACTCCAATGAACGCAAAAAGAGGAAGTAAGTGTTGCAACTATTTTGATTATATATTTTGCAAATTTTTAGGTACTTTGGAACTGGTGAGTCTTATGTGTTCCGACTAGAAAACACCAATTCGAGTGGCTTACCGGTGAATTTATATTAGTCTAGCAGTTTAAATCTCCTTTTTCAGCTTATCTACAATTGGGCTGGTCATGCCATCAAGAATGCACCAGAATTCTTTATGACTGCCACCGATAAATCGTTGATAGTGAGTTTTTGTTTAATTCGAAATATTTGAAATTTTACCATTTTTGGCTTAATCGACATGAGAAAACCAAAGATATTCTATTTTCCTTACCACAAGCCTAGTTTTGTTTTAAAAAGTGATGTTTTCAAACATTTTTCATAAATCTTGTTCAAACGTTGGTTTTAGGTTGGATCTGGTAACGGGGATGCAATTCGGATTGTCGACGAGCTTACGATGGTGCGTTTTAAAATTTGTATTTTGAATTGAATTCAATTTTGCCTAGTTTCCCAGTAACTAAGGAACCAATCGTTTAAAATACATTAATTTTTGTAAATTTTCAGGGAAGCTCGGCTCATTGTGCCACTTTCAACTCGCCTCCACTTGTTGATGGCGGGCAATTTGAGATCGAAGAGTTAGAGGTCTTTCGAGTGACGACAATTTAAGAATTTGAGAATTTCTTTTTATGCACGTGTCATTTATGTTCAATTAATTCATGCACTTTAACATTTTGTTGTGATCTCTTCTGTGAACGAGTATATCTTTAGGCGTCATGTACACAATCGTTTCGGTATTTCACTGTGATTTTTCTTTAAACCGGTTTACAGATGTTGTCACTAATACAAGCCTTTTTCAAAGAAGAATGGGTAAACTTTCACTAGAGTGGAACACGTTCAACTATCTAGGGTGTGATTGTGTTTTGAAATGACTATGATATTTAATCGGGAAAAGCGGCAATACTTCGACCGATAAGCAAATCTAGACAAGAAAAAGTTTTTTTGGGGTTGTCACTCAAGATTTTGGACTTTTCACCCCCTAGCAGCACCACTATAGAGAAAGAAAAGAGTACTAGACTAGGAGCGTTCCTTTCTCTTTTCCTCCTTTCCTTTCTTCAACAGCCATCCAACATAGGGCTATCGATTATATGAAGAGAGCCCACCGAGGCTACTAACAAGCCAATAGAGGGAAGAAAAGGGAGCCAGCTGGTGGATCGAACACTCACGCATGCATACATTCACGAGTTGACTCTGAATTGTTCTGGCTGGCTATTGATACTTTTATTCTTGGCGACTTGTGGCGGGATTTCTGAAAGGTGGCTTGATTTGTTTAACTTGGTAGCTAAAGTTGTCCATATTTTTAGATTTAAAATGAAAACACGTTTTCTGGGATGAATTTGACATTTTGACTAGCTCACCCAATTTCAGATGATTCAAATCGATCAATACACAAATGCGGCTCTTAAATATTTATTCCCGAGAAATTGCACAACCGTTCTATTCGCCGAGATGGACTTTTTCAAATGTAAACCAAAAAATTCTCTTTGATAACTCGCCAAAAATTTCAGCAAATTGTGCGAAAATCGCGTTTACTCGTTTGTTCTCGGTGATGATAACAGCCGCCTCAACACTTGTTTACTTTCCACAGTTTGCGAAAATTTTGAACACCCGCAGTGCCCAGGGAATCAGTTTGCTTTCAGTGGTGAGTTTTTGCAAAAACAAAAAAATTTCTGGAGGTATGGGGAATTGAACCCCAGACCTCTCGCATGCTAAGCGAGCGCTCTACCACTGAGCTATACCCCCAGGTGATTGTTGCCTGGAGGAGGTGCCATTTGTCTCTCACAATGACAGAGATTCCAGTTTCTTGGCTTGTTGGGAAGTGCGGGAACTGCCGCCTATGGCTTTCATCGAGGAACAACGTTTAGGTGAGAGATTTTTGAGAGAAAGAAAATTTCTATTTGAAATTTTACAATTAGAAACCTAGTGAAAAGTGTTTCGATTTAAAAAAAAAAATATTTGAACTTGTAACATTTCGAGCTTGTGAATTTGAATTTAGATGTTGAAACAATAAGCTTCTGTTATAATTCTTCAGCTGAATATCTTATAATTAGAAAGACTAATTCTTTTAAAGTAAAATATCACTATTGGATTAAAGAAAAACAAAAAATGGCACAAGTTCAAGTTTTTGATCTTCTCTGGGTTAAAATCCCCGAGCTTTTTGTTTGTCAGTGTTGCAATTGAGATATTGTGGTGGGTATCAAATGAAACAAGTCTCAAACAAACAATTTTATCTCACAAGTGATCAACTAACCCAACTTTCACAGAGAAACACAAATCAATACTGAAAAAGGAGAGAAATTACAGAAAATGTCGGCTTTTATAGCCGCAAAAACGGCACAGTTTTGCTATTCAGCAGCTTTTTCCCAATTTAGCCTTTTGCACGTCATAATCTGTATAAAAATTTCGTATGTAAAATAGCTTTTCAGCTATTTTAGTGACAAAATTTTCACAGTTAGTTCTAGGTTTTTTTCTTAAACCATAAAGCAAATGAGATTTTAAGTTTATACCCAAAGATTCAGAGATTTAATGGATCTAAAATTTGATCTTTGTTTTATTTACTGTTTGCAGCTTGCTGTTTTACTAAACATAACCATTTCAGCAAGTATGGCGACTCGGTTTTCCTCTTCATCCAACAAATGCTTCTTTTCACTCTCATCCTTCACTATTCCACGCATTCCCCGTTCGCTTTTGCCTTCATTGCAGCCTGTTGGGCGACAATGTTCGCTGTGATTGGCTCCTACATCCCAGCTGTTGTCCTAAAGGGAATCTTCAAATACTCCATTCACATTGTCATCCTTGCAAAGGTGAGTTGAAAGCCGAAAACTTGTCAAGCTAGCTTTTAAAGAAAAATTGAATTTTAGCTCATTCAAGGACGCTTGAACTTCCGAAACAAATCAACTGGTCAGTTATCGCTCACCTCAATGTTTCTGGTGATTTTTGGTGAGTCTGAATTATTTATAATTATTGCTTTTTTCATTTGACTATCCTAATTCTTTCAGCTGACATGGCGAGATGTGTAACAAAACGAAACGAATCATTAGAGATGATCTCGTTGAGGGGAATTTCCATTGCAATGAGTCTCATCATTCTCTGGCAGTTTAGGTAAAGTAAATGAAGAAAGATCTAATTGAAACCTTTTGAATTAGTTTGATAAAGCTAACAATAAGAAATTGATAGTTTCTTATTCATTGTCAACTGGAAAATCTCTTTTCTGCAAAAAGTGACTATTAAAAGAGAGACATCTTGTTTAAAAAATTAAAATTTGCTACATTTCAAGAATGGACTGGTCATTTTTCCTTTAAAAACTCTTGGTCTTATAATTTTTCTCAACTTTCTTGTCTTTGAATCTGTAATCTTTCAAGGAGAAGACATGTACGTTTTTGCGAATTGTTGAAATAATCTTGGAAGTTTTTTACACCTAAAAACTTGGTTTCAGTAGCATATCTTCTTTTAAACTACTTTTACATTCCAATCTTTATAAATTTCCAATGTAAAGATCCTATAAATTTGTCCGGCAAAGTTTGAGAAGAAGAAATTTGTATGAAGAAGTTCGTGCTCTTTGTTGACTTTGTGTGATACTACTTTAGATTTATGGAAAATAATAACCTGCTTAATTTCAAGAATGGACTGGTCATTTTTCCTTTAAAAACTCTTGGTCTGATAATTTTGTAATCAATTTAATTCAGAATCTATCGCCAGAAGCCTGTGCCTGAACTGAAAGCATCCGACGAGGCGCCGAAAAAACCGGAACGACGCAGAAAATCGGAGTGATTCTTGTGTACAATTTTTGGATCTCAATGAAATTGCTCATATTTTCAGTGATCGGATAAATTTCACTTTGATTATTAAAAGTTCAAATTACAATCAAATGTATCTTTGGGAACCCAAAGAGTAAGCTGTATTTGAGGTATTTTCGGGGGTGAGATCCTTTTGTCTTTGAGTCTTTCAGCTTCTCATCAATGTTGCCTTTGGGGGAAAAGAAGAAGAGTCTTTTTTTAGTTAAAAGAGACTTCCTTGTACGTGAAAAGCGATTTTGTAAGCAAAAAGCGATTTTTTTTCGGTTTAAGCCCAGAAAGTTGACATTTCCTTATTGGTAAAGCTTCTGATCAACAACAAAAGTGATTCATAGAGTTGAGAAAGGTTTTGAGAATAGTACTGTACTTTTGAAGCTCAAAGAAGAAGACTTTTTATTTTTTCTAGAGATCTTTTTTATTTTAACTTGCTAAGTTGTAAATTTCTCAAATTTTCTCAAAACTTTCTCAAATTCTCAGCTGTTAAGAGAAAACAAAGAAAATTAAGTCTGCCAGATATAATCTTTCTATTATTAATTAAAAAGCTGGCTTCAATCGTGCTAAAAGTGAATCAACTTCAAGTAAAATGTTAAAAAAACTAATCTTTCATTAAAAGTTTATTTATTTTTATGAAGAACCGTCTTTTCTACAAATCTTAGCAAATAAAAACGTTTGTGATTTCGTTTAGATTCTATTTTTGTTAAAACTTTGTCGTTTTCTTGCAGATCTTCAAAGATTTAGGTATCTTTTCAACAAAATTTCCTTTTTTTTCTGTCAGTTTTCTGGCAAGTCTGGAAAATGTTCACTTGCAAATCTTGAATCTAATAGACAACAAGGCTAACTGTATTGTTAGCTACACAACTACAAAAGCTACAAAAGCTAATCTAAAAGTCTGATCTTGAACCGTTGAAAAACTTTGTGGTAAAGAGAAATTTTCGAGACCAAGACGTGCTACTCTATTTGGCTTAGGGGTGACCGAAGGGTCCTCTTCTCTCACTCTCTTAAAGAGAAGAGAAAAGAGGAGAGAGGTAAGTAGGAGAATCAAACTAAAAAAGGAAAAGAAAAAAAAGAAAATACTCTCTTATAGAGCCTGACACCACACAAACGCATCGCACCTTCTTCAGTAAATCGCATTGACGGAGTCTTTTTTGTTCTTCACTTTATCAATTGATTGACCTTTGTGGAACCTAGTTTTTGCAAATTCCCTAATGCGTTTTCTATTAGGTTGGCCAAGTCTTTAGATCTTTAAGAAGTCTTTAAAAAGTTAAATTTAAAAACTTCATTTAAAAAGCTATTTAAAAATAATCAATCGATTGACCTACGGTTTCCTCCATGAAAAACGCCTACTATTTTTCTATTTAAGAATAAGCAATTCACCTACGGTTTCCTCCATTTAAAAAACCTACTATTTCTCTATAAAAGATCATTGAAATCTTAAGAAATGCTTTGTTTTTGGCTTTTTGTTCGGAGTTCAAACTCAGACAGTCAAAAAGAGCAACGACATGATCATGCAATTAGACACCTTGGCCCAAACAAACCTATTCTGATGCCAATAGAAAAAAAGAAAGAGCATAAAAAGTTAGGCATATAGACAAATTTTCAAAAAAATCTGTTTAACCAATTCCTTTGTACTAACCAATTCAACCAATTTTATCGAATTTTTTATCAAAATTAACTTTTGCGTCCGGATTTTCTTGGAAACGGGTCCAGATTGTGTAAAAAGATAAAAAAGTGTATAATTAATATCTATCCAGAGCAAATCGTAGACCAATTGATGAAGTTTTCTTTTGTAAACATTTTCTAACTTTTAAAACATTGAAACATAAAAATTTCCAGACAGATTTGTAAAAAAATGTCCAAAGACTTCGGGCAAGCTAATAAAACGTGTAAACTTTCGAAAACTTTCGTAATCTTGGATCTAGTTTTATCCAATTAATCTACTTTTCGTCTAAGCCAGCCTGGATTTACGAAAGATGCTGAAAAATATAAAAGTAGACAGACTAGAGGCAGGATTACAGTAGTTTTCAAAAGTAGAAACGCTTTAGAAAATGCAGAGGAAAACAGAGCATTAGGCTTCCTCTCAAATTTGAATTATTGTCTTTAAAAACTTTGAAAGCAAGAAAAATCAACAATTTCTTAAAATATACGTATCATTTACTTGATCCTTTAGTCGATTCGTAAAATTTTGCAAGAAAATGACGAAATCTTTGCGGAGAAATCAAGTTGTAATAGGTGGGATCAAATTTTGAAAACAAATGGACTTAAGAACATTTGTTGATTTGCTGTTTAATTTGCTGTTCAATAGTTGTTTTGAAATGATTTGATGCACGATTTAATTGAAGAAAACAGGCTTATTGTTAGTTTTTATTAGATTATCGGTTCCTGTATTTATTAGATTATTAGTTCCAATAAAGGGTGACACAAAAGTTCGGAGCCACCTCGTTTTTAGACTTCTAGGCACCTCCAACAGAAATTTTTTTGAAAAACGGTTTAGAAATTTGAAATCTAGATGAAATTTTGGTCTAGAAAACATTTTTCCACAAAAACAAAACCTTCTCATCGAATATATAGACCTATTTTCTTGAAATAACAGTTAAAACTTGAAATTCGATAACGACTCGCCAACTTTTTAAAGCTATAGGTTTTGCCTTTCAGCTTCAATCAACCTGAAATTTTGCTATTTGTTTAGAGAGAGTTTAAAAAATTGAATAGCTTTTCACTGACTATGTTTAATTAGAAATTTCGGAGAATTCAAATGATTTTTGAGAGAAATTCAAGCGACCAGGCATTTGGGTTGATTCTGGCGATATATTGTCAATTAGAAGATCTGATCTTTGCCTAAAATTGCCTTAAATCTTTGCAAAAGCCTTAAATTTAACATAAACTTGCTATAATTATCAACTTTTATAAGAAAATTCAGTGTTGGATAGTTTTTTGTTGTCTTAAAAGCTAAATTTGATCGAAAAACAAGGTGACTTTGAACTTTTGTGTCATCCTGTATTTGTCAATCAAATACTGGCATTTCAAAAAAGATATTGGAGAAAATGGATTAGAAATGGATAAGAAATTAAACATAGACTGATGGGGAGAACAAGTTGATAGACCTGAATTTGTTGGATTAATTTTAAAAGTCACTTTTATTAAGTCAGTTTTACTAATATTGCCTTGGCTTCTTGTAAAAGCTCTCTTTGATCTTTCTTTTCCGATTGATTCCCACTTTTTCTTTCCACAATTTGAGTATACATAAAATTAAATCAATTCTATTAAAATTCTTTGCTTTATTCTCTTTGTTGTCCTTTCTTGTCCTTTCATGTCCTTTCTCCTCTCCATCCTTCTCCTCTCCGTCCTTCTCCCTTCCCCCTCAATCGAACTGTCCACCTCATTTCCTTTCTCTCGATTTTTCTCTTTTCTCATTCTCTTCCGTTGTTACCTCGTTCATCTCACCAACCCGCACCTGCATATTGATTTGGATTGAGCTGTTTCTTGTTGGAGACGTTTTGATTTGATTTGTTTTCATATATTCTCATAAAATGTCTAACTCTTAACTTTTACAATAGAAAAGTCTGCTGGGAATTCAAATCTCGAAATCTTTAAACCTTTGAAAATCCAGATTATTTGTTATTTTGAAATTGGGTAATACAGGGTGTCTCAAAATAAAATAAAATGTTATAGAATTGCCCTTCCCTAGTATTATTTTTCTATCGTTTTCTTTGCAAATCCTTGTTTTCCTATTACAGTCAACATTCAAATAATAATCTTCATACGACACGTAATCGTCAAAAGTTGTTTACGAGATCTTCCCACAAAAGAGAGCCTCCATTTGGGAGATTTGCGAGATATCGATCTTTTTCTTTTTCTTTTTTCCAATTTTATGTCGTTCTCCTATTTTAGAGAAACTGACTGTATGTAGAAAAAGGTTTGTATGTCACGCGCAAAAAAGAGGAAAGACTGAGAGAAAGAAATGGCTGTGTCGGTTCTGTTAGTCTCTTTTTCTCACTCAAACAAATCTTTGTCCATTCAGATTTCTTCGGAGAAATAGATTCTACTTTTTGCCTGTTAAGCTGATAGTTTAAAGTTTAATTCTTAAATTTTTTCGATCTCAGAGTTTTCATTTGATCACTTTTGTCCATTTTTCTCTGAAGAAATAGGTTTTATACGTTTATTTATTGAAAACCTATGAGAATCTAAGATCTTTATAGCTCAGCAAGCTTTTAAACTTTTCTGCTATTTCTGATTAAAATTGACAGTTTATCTAATCGGCTTAAAGCTAAAAAAACCGACAATTTGCGAGATTTATCCTGCAATTTGCCATTTACAAATTTAACGTAAATAAAGCTTAAAATAAAACGGCTCCTGCGTAGTTTCCTGGTATTTTGAACAGGTCGTCACGCTTTGAAGGCCTATAACTTTGTACAGAGGTAATATTTTAGTTAACTTTTTATATCTTTATACAGAAGACATTCCAGGCTTTCAAATGATACCAAATAGAGCTTGATTGGATTTTTCATTCTCATGCAAACAAGGCGACACGACACCCGAGTTAGCTAGGCCTCATTTGCTCAGAGTTGACTCTGATTTTCTTGGACTTGATTATCCAATCAAGCTCTATTTGGTATCATTTGAAAGCCTGAAATGTCCTCTGTATAATGATATAAAAAGTTAACTAAAATATTACCTCTGTACAAAGTTATAGGCCTTCAAAGCGTGACGAGTTGTCTAAAATATTCCATAATACCCGGAAACTACGCAAGAGCCAATAAAACTTACTACTATCTCTCATTAAATTAATTTTCAACTCAAAATATTATAGATCTTTGATTCTTGTTTGATGAATGATAATTTCACAAAATGTAAAATTATGGAATATTGTGATAGGAATATAACCGGGAAGTACCTTTTTTGGGCTTACTGACTTTTTACTGATCTCGCTTAATCATATCGAACAATAATTCTATTTTCTTTCCAAGTTTAAAGACT